TTCCAAACACCCCCAACATATCCGAGGCCTCAGCGTAATTCCGATCAGTGGCAGCCCTAGTTCCCGGCCCGTATATCCGTCCGGGCATTTTCGTCTACAACGACCGGGTATGTCACCGCCGAGTGGACGACGGATTATCACTGATAGATTGTGTGCGCTATTGCTTATGTTGTGCCACAGCTCCCGATTATCCTCACATTTTATTACAAAATAATATGAATTATCGTCTTCATATTCTATAATAACGTCCAGATTAACTTACAACGCTTATTGTATTACTTTTATAGGATGTTGATTTAGATTTGTTGTTTTTATGTGTGAAAAGAATACATAAAATGACATAACTTTCCCAAAATATAACTAGAACAGTTACAACAACGGTCGGGAAATGAAACAAAATATTTTTGCTAGTACAAAAGATAACATAACAAGAAAATGAAGTCAAATCCTTAATTCTTTATTCCTAACAGATGCGACCGAGTCTAGGACAAAGTTTGAATACAAAACACAAGTTTTATTCAACGTTTAAAATGGCGCGAGCTACTAACTTCTAAATCCCCACCGCACCGCCATATCACTTAAGATTTTTTCATATTCAACTGCCGTTATTCCCGGAGCGGGTTGCATAAACTTCTTAAGAAGTTCTTTCAAGCGAGTTTGGACTCTGTAATCGATAGGATAAGATTTGAAGAGGGTGAAAGAAAAAAGTTTGTATAAGTGTTCTCTGTGTGACAGCCAATCGTGGTAGAGTAGAACCGCTCTATGGCAAGCTGGTGTTACAAGAGGGCTATCCTTTTTAATACAGCCTCCATTTTTACCCTTTGAATTTGAAATAATACTGTCACGTGGCGAAGGCGTGATCGGAATATTGTGGTTAGGGCTGTGAGTGCGGATATTCTGCCAGCATTCGGTTATGGTTGCGGTTATTCGGATACGAGAAGGGTTGCATATATATTTGTCAAGCAAGGGATTGAAATTTGGATACAGAATTGGATATGTGAGCAAATATTTTCTTAAGATTTTTCCCAATGTCACTGTCGGTCTTTCATACACTTATCATGTTACTTTTGCTCACTAACTATTACAGGGACTTTAAACACTATATACCTCTAAACATTACTAACAAAAACCACTGTGTAGAAACGATGTACAAATTATATACTATTTTATATTATAGGGTCTTTTAGGCATCCTTGTGCATATTACCGAAACTATTTTTTGTCACTAATACTTACTCAAACAGCTTAATATTAAAATGTTAATCTCCACAAATATGGAACTCCAAAATCAGACTAAAACAAATACGTTTCTATCTCCCTCCAAAAACCCTGATCTTATTTGGAAATCAATGCCTACTTATAGCGGCGACATTTTGTTGAATAAAGTTGATCATATAGTATCGAAGTTGGGCCTCGACGTAAATCTCAGTGCTTTGCACAAGCGTCGAATTTTTACTGGCCTTTCATGCAATATCGGATGTATTTTCACTTGCCTTTTGTAAACCGGAAATATTGTTATACCTATGTGTGTAAGAGAAGAATAGGAGGAATAGAATGTTATATTTTGTAAAATTTTGTATTTACATAATATTAGGTCATACTTCTTTTGTATCCACAATGATCAAAACCAAGTTTTGGCTGCATCCATACATAAACAGACCTACAGGAGGAGGAGCTAGGATTAAACAATTAGTTAATTAACAAGTAATACATAAATAATAGTAATGAAAATACTTAATTAGTAATTAATACTAAATAAGTTATTACCAAATAATATGATATAAGTTTTAAGAAAATAATTATTAGGTTTCTCGGCTTACTCGCGTTATTATTTGACGAGGAACTCGACTAGTTTCAAGCCATGCTAGAGGCTCATATTCATGAGCAGCATTCTGCAACCCTTTGAGTTCCCCGTCAAATAATTACGAGAGTAAGCCGAATAACATAATAACTTAATAATTAATTCGGTATGTCTCACGAAAGTTATAATATAAATAAATTTTAATAAGCCTTATTTTACCAATCAAGCTCTTTCGTTTGATATCCATAATGGAGGTAGTTGTGAGAAAAAACCGATTATAATAATATGATCAACATGGTCATGAAGAAGAGTGTGTATTAAATAACAGATCGATCTATCGTCAGCAAGAGGTCGCGGAGAACCTAACGGGTAACCGGGGCTCCGGCTCGACGTGCAGGAGAAAGAACAGGGTGGTTTTTAGTCAGTAAGAGTAAGATTTTGATGATTTTCCGCCCTTCAAAAAAAATCGTCAGCAAGAGGGTAACATTCCATTTACTTAATTTGAACCAAACAGACGACGGGGCAAGTTAAATCATTTAATAAAAATGTTATGTATGTTCTACCAAGTTTTTACTTTAATTGAAGCACAATTTGCAAACTCAAGCGTAGCTCAAGAGTAACTTAGGGGTAGCAGTTGCTCCTCTGCCCACTTGACCATCAAGTTAGTCCCTAATACTAACACTACATAGGTAGGTACAGTTAGACACTTTATGCTAATCATCAGCTCAAATCAAACACTACTCTATTTGATGTGCCCTTCACTGAGGCTAATTGACAGCTAATGCAATATGTACTGATTGGCAGTTGTCAGTCCGTTGGACATATTGTCAGTATCTATATTAAGTCCGTTTCAAATGTATCAATAACTGTTGTTAGATGACATTGCTGAGTGAAATGTGTATACGAATAGTAATTAGTATGTCTAATCATCATCAACAGCCTATAAATGCCCACTGCTGAGCAAAGCCTCTTCTCACACGGAGAAGGTTAGAGCATTAATCACCACGCTTGCTCAATGCGGGTTGGCGATTTCAAACTTATTTATTAGAAATTATAAGTCCAGGTTTCCTCACCATGTTTTTCCTTCACCGTTTGTCAGTGGTGTCTAAATAATCTTAAAAAGTACATATAACTCGGAAAAAGTCACATTGGTACTTGCCGTTGGTAGGTTTCGAACCCGCACCCTCATGCATGAGAAGTGGGCATCTCAAACCCACCCACCCAATCTTAGAGTATGTCTAATATGGATTGGCTAATTTGATAAGTCGGGGTGTCATCATTATTGTCAGCCATTAGATGTCCACCGTTGAAGTCTTCCAATTTTGCTGTCGCAAAAGTGCTTGTATTTTATTCCGACTATTTATTTATTTATTTATACTTTATTGCATACACAGAAAATAAATTTGTAAACATTGCAATAGTAATTTGAGTACAATGGGCGGTCTTATCACACGCGGCGATTTGTTTCAGACAACTTTTGGATGGAATCATTGAAAAGAATCTGGGAATGGGTGGTAGATGCACAATAAAATAAAATAGAAGAAAAACAATAAAAAACAAATTAAACAATCAATAAAATTTACAGACTACATATAATACATCACAGATGAAAATAGGCAATACTATGTTATAAATATATACTTAAATGATAACTATATATAGTTACGTGTATGTGTGTGTGGTGTGTGTGTGTGTTGAGGGTGTGTATGTGTGTGTGTGTGTGTGTGTGAGTGTGAGGGTGGGTGTGTGAGGGTGTGTGTGTGTGTGTGTGTGTGTGTGTGTGTGTGTGTGTGACTATTTGCTAATTTTTCCAAAATAACTTTTCTGCTTATGAATCAGATGGCAAAAATATTTTTTTTATCAATCTTATTAAAGTACTGTACCGAAGAAACTTATTCAAAGAACGTTTCGTTTTAATATTTTTAGAATGTTATTTTCATAAGAAAAAGTTAGTAACAGAAATTCGTTTGAACCATAACAATAAGTCGAAGACGACAAAAGGTCAATTTAATTAGAGACTACAACGAAAATAAAAGTTTTTTAAAAACATCTTTAGACGTTTGATGTGTTCTATCACGAATGGTTGGTCAATGAGGAAGTTTAGTATGGATGATAGCTGGTCAGTTTCTTCAAGTATTAAACTTTATTGACTTGGAATAAAGTCGGAAATTTAATGAAGATGCTTGACGGAATGATGTAGGTTAATGTGCCGTACGAAGTACTTTGAAACTTCAGAACTTTTATTCCTTGTTAGATAATTTATTAGAACTTCTTTGATAAAGAGGAACATTAAAAATCAATCAATATTTAATTTATTTTTCAAATAAGTTACTAGCCACCAAATTAATTATTGGACATAGAAGCAATTTATTGACACTTAAAATGTTTAATACACTGTAAACGCTGTCAATAAAATCAATACAAAGAGGCAAAGCAAAGTTCATTAATTTGATAATAATAATAAATTGAACTTAAGTTACCCAATACCTAACAATATAACTGAACCCACCCCACTCGATAAACAACTACAAAATCCAAATCGCGACAGTGCAACACTAACTTCCCAATTTAGTTGGACAACTAACAATTGAAATCATAACCCGTCCCGATCAGCTCGGCATTTATCGAGCAGAAACCAGCTTGATTGATTCCAGCTAAACGATAGCATTAGGGTTGTTCTGTACCGAATTCGACTCACGTCCGCCGTCGAAGGGTTTCGGATATTGCGAAACCGAATAGTGCGTGGTCATTCGTACCCGCGGTGTTATTGCAGGGTTATTAAGTTATCTTACGGTTGCTTACATGTGTGTTGGTAATTTTGGTGATTTATGCTCATGTAGTGGTTTGTAGTAATATTATGTGGGGATAATAAGAGTAAGTCGGTTGAGTAATGTCAGGTTTACGGGGATTAGGCAATTGTCGTTTTTGTTTGATAAGAACAAATTTTATGAAAGACGATGAATTATTATTATACAATTTATACCCGTTGAATGATTATAACAAAAGATTTTAATCTTTATTGAAACATACTTAACCTTACCTTTAATCACTGCAATAAGCAAATCACATGAAATCATATTACTTAATAAGAGAACACACGGAAACTAATAACAATTTAAAATCCATCAAAAAGTTGAAATGAATATCTTTATACATTTTAAATCTGAAACTTACAATATTTCTCAAAATTAATAAAGAGATTAAAAACTCAAATTCATATTTTCATCAACATTTGTAGTGACATCATTGAACAATGATTTTTGTTCAGCTGACATGGTGCTCCTTAAGCTGGCGACACTAGTCTTGCTTCTCAAAGGTGGTCTGCCCCTGATCCTTCCTTCATATTTGTGCCTCTTGTAGTTCATAGGACTTTCAGTGTCAGAGAGCTCATCACATTTGCGTTTTGCTGACGAAGATGATGAGTTTAATGAGAAGGATCTGTGTGGTGTTGTTGCAACTGGAAAAGATGGAGATTATGTTTTAGATATAACTAAACGAGGAAATGGTGTAAATAAAGAAGACTTGTAGGAAGAAATAATCGAATGAGATAAACTACAGTTGTATAAAATTGTATTAAAATATTAGTCAAGCCATAGTCAGATTTATTTTGATCTGAACGACAAAATGACATAATTACACCCTCATCATTAATATAAAAAGTCGAGCTACAAAGAAATTGTAAGCAACAGTTCCCAAAGCAGAAGAGCGGAAAGTAATAAATTTAAAAAGAAAAACGATTTGAGAACGCAAGAAAAAAAATGATAAAGCGCCGCCTCGCAATATGATTGAAGCGAGCCTTCTCATGAATAGAAAAATGCAATATTGCCTGGCACTTGACACGGAACGGAATTACGGACCGTTGCAAAATTTACGATTTGAATTCTATCCGTTCGTAGATACCAATTTTTTTACTTAGAAATATTCTTTCTGGCATTCCTATAAAGTTTTTGGACGATATCCAGTCGTTCAGTTTGGGAGGTGGCAATAAAACTTGGGTCGGACGGATATATTTCAAAGAATTTTTGTTTATATTAAAGGAATAAAAGAAGATTGTATTGAGTAAGGCATGAAACTGAAAAGAAAATAAAACAGAACATTCTTCAGTTTTGGGGAAAACCATACATATTACGGTATTAAAAAACTTTATTAAGTATTGAATCGAGTATCTTTAAATACACGAACGATACAATCATCTAAGAAATTGTTTAACTACTAGTCTTCTGCCCACCCTTACCCTGAGTCACTACAATAAGATTTTGTCTATTATTTCCCTCTTAATAACCAGTAACACATCATGCCAAATCCATCCACGATATAACATGGCCTCTATTAGTGCGTGGTCGTGTAAATGTAACAATATCATGTTTGGTCGCACGCCTCGGTTAGCAATCGGAAGGTATAATGTACTATCGACAATGTTACAAGTTAATACAATATTGGTATTACTTAGTGCGAATCGTGTAACATGTAGTATTTTATTCGTATGAGAAAAGTGTTAAAGTGTTAACAAATATTTAAGTAAGTCCGAGTGATATCAAATTTGGATAAATATTCACCATAATATTTACATTTAAGAAGGAAGTTTTTGATATCGAACACTCATAGCAACATTAAATTAAAATACTAATAACTATTTATATTATGGTTAGGACAGTTCATAACATCGCGATGTCTTCAACCTTATGGGAATTAAAACCCTGATGTAAAGGTACAAAGGTCCCATTTTGATTGCTTGACATTTTTATTTATAAAAGGACAGACAGCTCGTATCCGCCTTTTATATCCGAATCAGTATGAAATAGACAAGGAATTTATACGTAAATTGCCAACAATTCGTTGTTGTTGCTTTCTTCTGACAAAGGATTCTTACGTTTAAAGGAAGTTTATTTCCGTACACTAATAAAGGAAATGACAACAATATTATTGTTAGCTGCTGATCAAAATAAACGGACAGGTGTATAATTTGAAAATGAACAGAAGTAGAAGAATTTAAACGGATCCGTAAACATTAACATTCAGTACTCGTACTATAAATAACACGAATCAATTTCTCCTGAATTAAAATTCTTCTACGCCATTTTGAGTTAAACGTTAAAGTTAAATCAAATGATGAAACAAAAGCAGAATCGTGTTTAATTAAAACTTTAAATCGCAACATTCAAATGTCATACTTCTTGCTCCTGCTGCTAATTCGACCCGATACTGGCCCGAAATTCTTTAATACCCCTTCAAGCCGTTTAAATCCTAACTTAGACAATAATTGAATTTTATAGCCCATAAAATAAGGTCTATTTCCCAATTAACATTGAAGTTAAGAAGTTTTGATCGCGAACATGATGAGGTTGTCAATATTTGCGCTCAGTGTTTGCCGCTCGCAGCGAGGGTGAGTTAATACGTTGATTTTAGAACGTAATTATTGGAAAATTTTAAGCAATATCAAAATTGGTGGAAAATTTCATCTACGTAATATCATCGTGGTTTATGTTTAAATCTTTAGTGTTAGTTGTCTTTGGAAATGTAGTTTTTTAAAGGATTCAATAATAAATTATGCCATTCTAACATTAGTACTGTGTGAATGTAAAGTATTACATTCACACAGTACTAATAACTGCAGATTATCATACAAGAAGTTAATGTTAGAAAAGTCCTCAATAGCATACTCACCGACATTAGGTGTCTGCTCACCCCATAACGCATTTTTCACTGCTTTAGCAACGCTCGACCAAATGTTCTCTTTAATCGAATCCTGATTCTTATCGATTGCGTCCGACTCTTCACTTGGCTTGCCCTCACATTCCTCCACGAGCCTCTTGACACTAACTTTCCTTTTCGTTATAACAAACTTAAACTGAATTTCCGTTTCTTCCTCCGTGTTCATTAAAACTGATGAAAGGCAGTTTTGTAGCGTCCCGGCTATGTTCGTTGTTAATGTTGATATTGCGTTCATGCCTACTTCTGGAGTATCGATACATGTTCTGAATAATTCATTCGATTCTTTTGAGTATTCTGATTCGATTTGGGGACTGTCTTCTTTAAAGTTTATGGCACGAGCGGGCATGGTTGAAGGCTCCCCGACAGGCGGCGTGTTTTCCTGATTGTTAGTATTCTTCTCCCTCATCTTCGGAGTCCTCGCCATGATTATGCCTTGGTTTTCAAACCGATTGACTAATGCTTGGAAGCGAGGGTTGTAACAATATCTCGGTTTCTGTGGCCCAGGTGTTAGCATTCTCTTTGGTTTTCTGAACACTGAAAAGTTGAAAACACGCATAAGAATAATTTCTGTAATATTCGAAACTTTCGTCTTTGGCGAAATGTTAAAAGTTATTGCGATGAAGAGAGCATTCACCGAAGTATCAGCTGAACATTCAAACTGACAACAACTTGGAGATAGTAATATTGCACCAACTTATTTGACTTTTACATTTCGTGTGAAATATTATCGATTCACATTCTAGACAATACATATTCTACTTAGAGTACAATGTATTTAATTTATTCTCACCTCGTTTAACCTTGGGTTGTTCGAAGACGGTGTCATCAGCGAACTTAACTTTCTTTGTTTTCATGGAGCCCTCGTGTGAATCTTGAAAGGTGACATGTTTCTCTGTACTATCTTGACTCCCAACACGAGTTTTGCTGCCAGTCACTATGATACTCTTCAACTTTGGTGGGACAGCATCCGAATCTGACTTTGATGGCTGTAATGAATTTGTAGAAGATAATGAGTATATGAGTATTTAAAAATTATGTGAATAATATTACACGAAAAGCATTTATTTTACTGAAATAAATTGAAACCTAATTTACCTTACTAATGAAGTTCTTTCACATTTAAGCGTCATTATGAAGCGAATATTAACATGATCAATATAACTACAGTGAATGTAACACGTTTAAATTGGAGGAGTGAAAAGGATTTTTTAATAATATTACTAAGGACTTATTATACCTCATTCATGCTCTGGGCTGCACTCTCGGTGGTCTCAATCTCTGAGAGTGGAGAGTCAGCTCCCTGATCAGCAAATAATGGCCAGCCGTTACAGGCGGCGTGAGTAGGCGTGCTGGTTGTAACTATCTGAGTTAACTTGATGAGGTGCGGCAAGTGGGATGTAGGGGTCGTCATTTCCTTTTCAAGGTCTGGAACTAAAACATTATTCAAGTTACACAAATAAGATCACCAAACAATCAAAGTCATTATATTAGTTTTACTTCTGTTACCTTCATTATTCTCTGTTCTCACCGGCGTATGTTTATTAGCCGGTGACCCATCATATTCATCACCAATAGTCTCCTCATATTCTTCCACAACCTTCTGCTTCATCATAGTTAATAGCTTTTTTGTGTGAGGAGTAGCTGTTCTTTGCCTTCTCAGTTTTGGAGTCTTGGAAACAATTGTCGGATGAGGAGTCATTATTCCAATTTTATCTTCATCTTCACTGCCACTAGATTCATAATCGACTATATTTTTCTTTCTAACTATTGGTGTTATTACAGCTGTCTTGGTATTCTTATTAACTGCTATTATCCCTTCGATGTTTTCCCCATATTTATTAACTTTCTCATAAATTGAATCGAATTTTTCATCTAGTTTTTCCATTTGTGAACTCCCTGCTTCGTTTTCTTGTCCAACTAGCTCGGATATGCTTGTACACTTGTCTATGTTTAAGAAATCTTCCATATTATTGAACATTTTGTTGCACTTTTTACAATGTAATGGAGTGTGTTCTTTAGTTAAGTGTTCTATGAAATCTTGATTAAGTTGTTGAGGTTTGCAGAGGAACTGGTACCCTCGACAGATGGGGCAGTCGTACGTGAGGTTGTGAGCTACTTTCTCATGCCTCCATCGACAATCGGCGCAGCAGAAAACTAATCGACACACTATACATCGTACCTGGAAGTGGCAGATATTATTAACAAGGACGAATTAAGAATTGTTTTTATAATTTTAATGATTTTAGTAGTTTATCTTATTTAATGTAAGTAATAGATAACATTCCTTTGGCATCATTTAATGAATGCTAAAATAGAGACTGAACTAAATTTGTATATTATTTGTATTTATTTACTTAATCCATTATTTCAAAAGGCACGATGCAGACTAGCGCCTCTTATGAGAGATACTGCTAAAATCTTAAACGAATTTAAACTATAGGGTAAAGGTATAGAATAACTATCAGAACCACTCTAATTGAAACGCATTATACTTGAATAGAGTTACTAGTGACATTCACGCCTTCAAATCATTCATTCACTCGCTCATCTACAGCCGTAACTACTTCCTTATCAGGCGGTCTCTAATTAGAGGCTGCATCGTCTGGATGTGTTAGTACTCTAATTGCCTTGTTGACCTGATTACCAACAGCTCGCACTGTCACGATCATTTCTACGAGAACTACTGATTGGCAAGATGATATTTAATTGATCACGAATATCTAACATGGGTATGAACCTAATCGTACTGTAGGACTCGATATTGATAACGAACTGAAAACCAATTAACTTGTACTTCACGTTGCCATGAAGTTTAAATCAAATATCAATAAAACATCCACTTTCATTCTTTACACTATACCTGGCTGAAGTGGTATACATAAACAAATTACTTTCATCTCAGTCAGTTTTAAGTAGTTATGTTATTAACAAATCATTGTAATATTGACCGAACCTTTTTATCTCTAAGAACAATTTCAGACTTAAATGCTAGCACTGGCAAATAATACAAGTATTGTTCATCACAGGTAAACAATACTATACCATCGAGACAAACATTTTAGGAAACAAAATGCATTAACACAAGGGCCCCAGATGGCTAACAAGAAGCTGCACTAACTAAGCATTGAAAACACAAACAAATACTTACGCGACTCACATAGTCACACAACATAATTTAAAGATCACAAGACCAAACAGCAAGTTGAGAAAGCCGAACTAAGTCACAAGTTGCACTCAGAACAACACATCAAGCTACACAAAACCAGTATAAACTGACATTCGAATGTGCGAAAAGATCGTACAAAGCTAGACCATGATAAAGTGGTTTTTGTACCTAAGTACATTTCGCTGGTGGCATAACTCTGAACTACGTACGTAGTCTTCGTATTCTACGTACCGGGACAGGCTTAGCAAAAAGCGAAAGCATGTTCTGGCCAACCACGTTACCGACCAAATGTCTGCTACATGCGGCCAAGGTTAGGCCGGCCGGAATAAGGACGTATGTGTAGTAAGGGATTTAGTGCGCGACCTCGCCGCACTCATGTTCACAGTTTTGGACGTCTCACTTTTGTTAAGTTTTAAGTTGTTGACAAACGACGTGAGAAATCTTGTGAAGTTACTCGGGTGTCACGTCTTGTTTCCTTTTTCTCTTTATCAAGTTAAGTTTTTAACTTATACAAGGTTAAAATAAAACAGTCGTAAGTAAAACAACCCAGTGTTTTTTTAAGTCTAATCTTTCTTTATGACGATACGCATAGACGATGATAGCCATATATTAAAAATAACGTTTTATTCCGTAGACTTATGCCTGTTTCTAAATATCCAAATTCAAGATAACTTTATTCTGTCACTCGAAAATCATTTAGAAGAAAGTATATACCAATGTATATAAAAAAAACCTCTGTCTATCCTTTTGGATACCAGAACGAGAGATGTTCATACCATTCACTAATCTTCTCAAGAACCGGAGTATTATTAATGGATTTGTCCCTCCGAACATCTCAAATTGAACAGGGAGTGAGTAAATACCTTCATTTTTACCCTTTTCACCGAGGTGGTAAGTAGAGTAAGTAGGTAAGCCGACTGTTTTGACACGTTGTCACACAATGTCTCGGCGGGGATCAAACAGCTGATCATATAGGTACACACGACAACACATTGAGGTACAGATATCCAGTTCATCATGACCTCATTTTGTATGATCTTTCCGCAAATTTGAAGGTCAGTTTATACTGGTTTTTTATAGCTTGATGTGCAGTTATCTGTACATACTGTAGTACATGAAAATAATGTACGTTATGGGCCTGACTTAGCTGTTATGACATTATGTGTGAGAATAAGTTCATAACCGGTAATGTGTTGTATGCCGTGATTATATCAGACAGCTGGATTGAGATTTATAAAGTTAGGTAGTAGGAGTAAAATATAATCATGTGATATATAAAATTGTGTCTACAAAAATAAACATGTTGATTGATGTTAATATAATATAATTTTATTACGTCTTGATCTTTGGAAATTAATATCTATAATTCCGTTATACTGCTGTACGAAACCCAGTACTTAAAACAACACTCCTTTTATGCCAATGATATTGATCTTTAACAGTCGATGTTAGCAATTACTTAACTGACAAACTTATTAAAAAAACAAATTGAACATAAGTAGGAACACGCGTTAATAAACAGCTGAAACCCGTTCATTTTTCAAGAACCCTGTCAGTTCCCAATCGATAGTAGATTAATAACTAAACAGTGATGTCCAACGATCCCGGCATCCCGGGATCCCGGATGGGACTATTCCCACGGGATCGCTCAACTGAACGGCACTATACAGATGCAATTAAGATTAACTTTGAACGCTTTTTCATTTCGCTATGTATTTTTTGTTGTTGTTAATCGTTGTATCGGAAATTGGCGCTTTTGTTTTATGCGAATACGAATCATTTTATGTTTCGTTTTTTACGAAAATAACATATTTAATCACTAGATTAGATGTCTAAACAATATTATGACTAATGTTTTACCTGAACATTATTTTTATAGACACAATATTTATCTAATAATATCTACCTAACTGATGACTACACAAATCTTGTTTGCGTTGCGTTTCGTCGTGTGAGGGAGGTTACTGGAGGCCCAATTATCCCCCCCCCTCACCAATCTCCCCAATCCCTGAATCCCCAACAATACTCAAATTCCTAATCCTCAAAAGGCCGATAACGCACTTATAACGTTTCTGGTGTTCCGAGTGCCCATTGACTACGCCGGTTGCTTACCATCAAGTGATCCGTCTTCTTGTTTACCGGTTTATACCATAAAAAGCGGACCTGAGGTAAACTAACAACAACACTAGACATAAATAAAAATAATAGACATACGGACCACACAAAAGAAAACTAATTGATTCTATGAACAATAATAGCATTCAAACGAATGACTTACAACTAATTTTAAAACCAAATTTAAAGAATAACAAACCTTATCCAATCTATTTACAGCTGATTCTAACATTGTTAATCTACCATCAAAACGATCTAATTATTGTGACAATGAACCTATTTCAATTTTATTTGTATACTTTTACAACAATATAAAAATAATAATTATAATGAATACTTACGTCGACAGTTGGTTTCATTTTGATTCCATTTTACACCAAATAGAAACGTAAATTATAAACATTTCTTAATTAATACAAAATTATTCAAGTTTTTTTTTCTATAATGCATTCACAAATTCACTGACATTAAAGTTCAATGATATTTTCTACTTACCCGCAATGATTTTGATTTTCGAAGTCTTTTCGGATACACGCTTCGGAGTTTGTTTCGTATGTTTAGTATGGTTGTGTTGCCAAATCAAAATAAACAGTAATATTATTGTAAAAATATTAAAATTCACCGAGATTTTATAATTAAAGAATTGATTTAAATTAATTGCCAGCCATAATACTATAAGAATTGATATATTTAAGAATTTGACCTCATTGATGCCACAATTATTGGTTGTATTTTCACAACTCAGTTCCAATATGTATCATCACGCTTGCTTTAACTTAACAAGGTGAACAAAAACGTACAACATACAACTTAATTATACCCATATTGTACAAGTAAGCCATTAATATTCCAATACAAAATATTTATAAATCTATATCCGATGCTTGACAAAAAATCGGTCATCCATTTTTTGTTGGATAGCCACTGTGGAGTCGGTCACGTCACCACCCGTCCTTCATATCGGATCCAATTTATTGGTTCGTTCAACTGACTAAAATACTCGTATGAAACCATAATACTCGTGTTAGATTATACTACAGCTTTGCAAGTGAAAGGTCATAAGTCATAACAAGTTGGGAATAATCGTTTGAATATTGGAACGTCTTTATTTCGTAGGTGGTAAGGTTGATTTTTCAGTTAAGAATTTATGCTAGTAGTGAAATTGAGATAACAACAAATAAGAGATAAATTACTGTATATATACATAGATAAATGGTGCGGTAGTTGGGCAACTGACTGCCGTTCAATGTGTCGCGGGTTTTATTCCTGAACGGTACAAATTTTTGTGTGATCTAAAGATTGTTGTTCCGGGTATGGGTGTCATGTGTATGTGAACTTGTATGTTTTTTTATTAATGTCGGAAATAAAAAAATACTTGTCTAATATTTTTTCATTATGTAAGTGACGAACTAATTAGTTTTTTTTAAATTTAGAAACCCTGGAAACTACCCAATTCCTTTACCTAAATAAACAACCACAAAAACACCCTTACAAAAACTAAAACTCTTGAAACACAAATCTATATTAGACATAAAGCCCTAAGTTGTTCTATTAAAGCCACACAGCCAGTCACAGCCTACCAGTGAAACTGAGGCCGGCTTCCTGAGCCAGTACAAAGGAGTCAGGAAATTGCGACGCGTGTCTCTAGAGCATACACTTAGCTCACTCACTGCCTCGACTATTATAAGTACTTATATTTTTATTATCTTGTGGTTTTTAAACGAATTATGGGATGTGGTATTTAAAGTGTGGGCTGGGAAAGAATATTGTTTTGTTTGGTTGGGTGTAGTGTTTTAAAAGAACCGACTTCAAAAAACCAAAAACTAATAACAAAAAAAACTATTATTAGTACTCATAGGTTACCCACCCACTGATTTCTTCTAACTAGATAGACTTCTAAACTAGAAG